CTCAAAAAACAAGTATCAGTTATCTCACCTGAACACTGGAAATAATAGTCCATGCATTTATTAAACAAATTGAACTGTTCAGATTACCTAATTTCCAAGTCAGGCACACAGAGAATGAGTTTTGTTTATTTTAAAATAAGATTAACAGCAAAGGATATTTATATTTTACACCTGCCTCCACTGTATACTTCACATATAATAGTGCTAAAAATATGCACCTATATACTTTTCACACATTCATAGGAATAGTAAATACTGAACAAAACACAAAACTATGTACTTGTTATTTAATACACATATGTACATATAGGAAAATGGTAGGAGGGAAATATAGTGATAAAAATAACTTTTGAGTTACAGTAACATGATAGTTAACTATATATTGTAAGTAAACTAAAGATAGGCAGGCAGACCTTACAATGATAATGGATTGATTTCCTTCTGTCTTCAGACCAAAGCAAGGGGAAGCATCTTCAACTCAGGAAGTCACGTGTTGTCACTTGAACAAGGAAACAGTAAGCATCTTCCCCCCTTTTTTTATACCCTCTCATCTTGCCAAACCCTCAACAACTGAGCAAGCTGGAGCCTCTCTCACATAACAGGAAGTCAGGAAGTGCAGGGCGGCCCTCAGTTACCCAGTGAGATTACAGGAAGTGCAGGGCAGCCCTCAGTTACCCAGTGAGATTACAGGAAGTGCATGGCGACTCTCAGTTATCCAGTGAGGAACTTTACTTCATGTGTCAGATACCTATTGCTGCCCTGTAGGATACCACAGATTTCCAGGCATATAACATATTTCTGTTCAGAAGTCTCACCGGGCTAAAGTCATGGTATTGTCAGGACTGTTTTAGATATGCTAGAAAAGACCCAATGTCCTTGCCTCTGCCACGCCTTGATTGGTAATCCCTTCCTTTACCTCAAAAGCCAGGAGCACTCCATCTTCAAATCTCACCTGCCTTTGATAACCTCCTTTTTATAACTATCCTCATAACGACCCTGATTCCTCCTGGATAATTCAAACCAATTTTCACCTCTCAAGGTCCTCGTTTAACATCTACAGAGGCTTTATCACCACATAAAATAACACACTCAAAGGTTTCTAGGATCTGATATCCTAGGGTAAAATTCTGTTTATCACAATCATCCCAAGAACTACGCATGCATCCAACAAGTCAAATTCAGGCTCTCCATCAACAAATGCCTCAATCCATCACAGCCATGATGTAAGCCCCAAATCTCACATGTCATACTCAGCAAAACAGTCCCAAATTGTATCATCTCAAATCTTCTAAATTAAGCGTAAATACAATCCATGCCAAGGAGAACAGTCGTCTTTCTGGAGCAGCGTTTCTCAACCTGTGGGTCACGACCCCTTTGGGGGCCATATATCAGCTGTCCCTCATATCAGGTATTTATATTACAATTCATAACAATAGCAAAATTACAGTTATGATATAGCTATGAAATAATGTTATAACTGGGGGTCACCACATGAGGGACTGTATGAAAAGGTCGCAACATCAGGAAAGTTAAGAACTGCTGGTCTGCAGAGATATGAAATCCACCTAGACAAACATCCCCAGATTCTAACACAGCCACCAGTCCTCCTTGGTTGGTGTCTCTGTCCTCTCAATTGACTCTTGACTTGCAACCACCCTTTCTTTCCCGCTAAGCACGGAGCGTGCCTGCTGCTGCTTTTGTGTCCCATACTTAGAGGGATCAAACGCTCTCCCTTCTGTTCCTTTTATGACAGTGTCACTTTTAGGATAAATTCCTCAGGAATCATGTCACCCTCCTGTATGCCACAACAATATAATACACATCCTAGACAAAGGATATCATGCATCCTCCTAGACAAAGGATATTACATATCCTCCTAGGCAAAAGGTTTCTCCATAGACTTTTCCTGAATAATTCCACCTCTCATTTTGGCTTTGGCTGAGACAAATGGGGACTCTGTGAATCAAACAAATAACCTCTTCAAAGGGACTTTGAAGAAAGAGCTTTTGTGACTGAACAATGGTGGCATTTTCACTTTCCCATGATGTTAGTAAGAGGGTGTCCATCATGTGGTTTCTCTCTAGAGTCCAATTTCCAGAAATTGTTCTGTGCTACTTAGAAGCTGAATAATGTAAGAGTTTCCAAAAACTTATTTTCCTTATCAAATCCTGCTGGCTTTATGGTGAACAACTCTGTTATCACTTGTTACCACAGCAGGAAGGAGCCAGGTTGGACATCGGTGTTTCTGTCTAAATACCTTTATGTTTGCTTTCCACATAACTTCAGGACACAGTTCTGCTGGAATTTCTGCCATTGTACATCAAGAATCCCCCTCCTCCAATAGCCTTCACTGGCAGTAGTTTTTTTAATTCTTCATCATTATAATCATCAATAGTTATTGGTCAAGCAAATTAATGGGTTTTACAGTGTTGTCCCCAAGCATGTATGGATGATACTTTGGCCTCCATTCTCTTACCCATCCTCCTCTCCCCTTCCCCTTCCTGGACTCTTCTTACAGTTTTGAGTCATATTTCCTCATATAAGAGAAACAAACCACACAAAACTAATCTCTTAATGTGGTTTGATTTGTTTAACATAATGTCCTCCAGTTCCACCCACTTTCCTGGATGATAACGTAGTTTCATTGTTTCTTGTGGCTGAATAATATTCCATTGTCTAGACGTGCCATGCTTTCTTACCCGTTCATCTATTGATGGATGCTTGAGTCGACTCCATAGATTGGTGGTAGTGAACAGAGCCACAGTAAGTGTGGGTATATAGGTGTCTCTTCTGAATGCTGATATCATGATAAACAGAGAAGAGTGGCACAGCTAGTTCCTATGATTATTCTGCTTTTGTTTATGGAGGATCCCCCGTGTTGTTCACCACAGTGACTGCACTGTCTTACATTCCAACCAACTGTATTCTCCTAGATTATCTTTGCTAACATTTGAGCTGTGTACATCTTCTTTTTTGCCATTTTGGCTGCAATGAAGTGGAATCTCAGTGTACTGCATCTCCCGTACCAAGTAGGCTGTGTCTTCACTTCTGAACACAGCATGCTTCCACAGGTGTCCACCTCTGGAAGCAGCTGAATTTCAGTTGCTGTGATTTTTCCCGTGCTGGGGTAGTGGCTGACTGATGGCTGCCTCCAGCCACCATCTTGGATCTCCAAACACCTGGCACTACTTTTAATCTCTGTGTTTTTCCTAACCATCTGTTTATACCATGTTAAGTCTCCACTAAGACGTCTGCTAGACCATGACTCTCTCCCTGCATACTTCCTAGAGTACTGTCAGCATCAGAATTCTGCCAGTCTAATAAAGATGCACCATCCCCTATTCTAAAGCCAGGCTCACCATGGGGTTTTCTTAGGTCTACAGCATCCCTCAATTCTCTGCAGTCTTACTATAGTTGTAATATCTGTTTTTGAAATAAACGTAAAGGACTGGAGAGATGCCTGAGTGTCTAAGAGCACTGGCTGCTCTTCCAGGACCCAGATTCAATTCCCCGTGCCCACATGGTGGCTCATAACCATCTGTAACACCAGCTCAAATGGATCCGATAGCCTCTTCTGGCATTTGTGGGCACCACACGCATATGCGGCACAGATACGCGTGAGGCAAAACACTCACACACACAAAACAAAATATAAATGACTTCAGAAATAGAGCCATAGAAGAAGTGGGTTTTCCCACTTCCCTGGGGGACAGGATTGAAGCAGTAGCTATAAAAATGCCACTTGCTCAGCATGCATATGAGAGCCTTTAGAAATAGAGCCATAGAGGAAGTGGATTTTCCCACTTTCCTGGAGGACAGGATTAAAGCAGTAGCTATAAAAACGTCACTTGCTCAGCATGCATCTGTCAAAACCACTCCACACAAGGTGGCAAAGGGCAAGCCCTTCTTGGGTGACCCAAATACGAATTCTTAAATATTCTAAGAGCTGTTCTGACATAAAATTGAGAATGCACTCCTAATCCATAACCTCGAATCTTCTTCATTCTCCAGCAAAAGGGGCATTTTCCTTTCAACTTCAAATGGAGCCAGGCATGGCTCCTGAGGCACACCTGCTCATTTACGCCATTTTACCTGACGGAGAAGTTGTCGCCGACACTCAGAAACTCGAAATCGAAAACTGTTTTGCCAATAAGGTGGGTGGTTATGTCTAAGCCTGATCCTTTTATTCTGTCCTTTATATAATTGTGGGCAATAAATAAGTAATGCCTATTTTAAATTTTTTGAGACAGGGTCTCTTAATGTAGCCCCAGATGTCTAGGAACTTACTATGTAAACCAGGTTGACCTTGAACTCACAGAGATCCACCTGTCTCTGCCTTCCAAGTGTTGTGATTAAAGTCATGCACACCATACCTGGCTTAATATCCATTTTAACACCACCACACAGGGCTCTTTCAACTTTCCCCCCAAGTATCTCTCAAGTTAGTGAGAGGAGCCACGCCTTAACAGTCTAGTGGCACCGCCCAAAGCAGGTGACCACAGGCAGAATTTTTTAATTTAAAAGACTCATGTGGATTTCAAAATCTATTCTACAACAAACTTTAAAATATGTCTATTATTGTTATTTTATTTTATTTTATGCTTGTGGGTGTCTTGCTCAGGTGTATGTCTGTGCACCTTGAGTATACTTATTACCTGTGAAGGCCAGAGAAGGCCACAGGATCTCCTGAAACTAAAGTTACAGGTAGCTGTGAGCAGTTTTGTGGGTGCTGGCAAGGAAACCCAGTGCTCTTAACTGTTAAGCCATCTCTCCAGGTCCTGTGTCAAACTTTAAAATTATTTTGAAATATTTTGTTACCAATTTTCCATTGAAAATGCTGTTTCACCAAGCTGTGTCAGTCTCGTCCCATTGACCCCAGGCACAACTCGGTTCCATTTACCGCAGAAGAGTGCGGTGCTTCAAGTTTAAACTGAGCTCCTCAATACAGACAGGAAAGTATACAGATTTTTAACAGTTTAATAAGAATTAAATACAAAAAATTGACTTGTCAGTGAGACCTTTTATTATTTTTAAAGATTATACAGCTGTAGTGTGAGTCCCACTAAGCTATACGTAAGTTTTACCAGAGCAGAATTGGCACTGGTTATCTGATTTTTTTTACTGTTCTGATAGATACTCTTTGAATTAGCAATCAGAAGGGCTCTGTCAACCTCAGCCACTTTTCTTTCAAAACCATAACTAGGAGGATAATGTCTATTTACAGCAAGGGGACATTTCTGCAGCAGTGACTGTATTCACATTACACACACACACACACACATGCATTACATGTGTGGTGATATAAGCAAAAGGCAGTGTGGAATGCTGTATAAGTCTTCGCTGCCATGTAAGGAACCCTGTAAAAGCTGGACACTGTGTCAGGAGCACGGTGTGGGTTCTATTTGGGTCTTCTGTGAGTTTCATATCAAGTAAGCTTCCTGCATCAGCCTACAGGGTCTTCCACTGTGGGTCACATGTGGTTGTGTGGGAATCCTGGGAGGGTTAAGCTTTTGGCTCACCCGGCTCTAGCAGTGGGCAGCATCTTTAGCTGGTGGGTCAGTCTTCTCTACACAGTCCAGACTTGAAACTATCTGACAGCATATAATTGACAGAAAAAGATTACTTTCTACTCAGAAGCAAATCTGAAAAAAAAAATGCATCTGCTTCTGCCAAGCATTGGAAACCTCTGTGTAACACCACAAAAACTCTCAAAAGAAGCTCAAGTCCATTCAAAGTTATATTCACTTCAAATCCAATGCCTTTTCACTCACCATAGCAAAGTTGACGGAAAGCACTGACAATCACACACAGGAAGACTCACGCAGCACTCACGAGAATGCTGGCTGCCACAAAAGTGCCAGTCTAGTGGAGTTACCAATTAAGGTCTGAAGGGACAGTGAGCAAAGAGAGGCCTTGAGAACGAGAAAGGACCTGGGATCAGACAGGGACATGTCTCTTCAAGCCAGTATATTTTTTTCAATCTTTTATTGGATGGAGAAAAACTGTATTTCTATTTAATGCCTTCCCTTTAAGACAGTTTGTACACATTAAATATGTATTAGTTTAAATTGTTTTTCTGGCAGCTAGCCCTGCAAATGTTTGCATATAGTGGAAAGATAAGTAAGAGAAGACAACACAAGTCAGGCACAGTGAATGCACGCCTCTGATCTCAGCATTTGGGGGCTTCAGCAGGAGCTGGGGTAGGTAGTGAGTTCAAAGCCGACCTGGGATAAGTGCAAGATCCTGTCTCGAATTCATTTAAAAATAAGTCAAGTGGGAAAAAAAGAGGAAAGCTGTCGTGTCACAGTTTTCGTCTTCCCCTGCCAGACCACATGAGATGATTTTCCTGGTGACCAAGGTGGAATGAAGGTGGCAGATGAGGTTTTCAGTTCAGATGTGATGGACCCTGTGTCTAACTGCATCCACACAAGTCCTTTCTCTAAGAAACACAAAGCAAAAGTGTCTAGGGTGTCTCATCATCAGGCTTTTGGACATTTTGCATCACACGACTCCATTATAATAAAAGTATAAGTAATTCTTTTCCTTTGAAACCTCACCCCACTTTTCTGACTACTAGTCTCAACAGATGTAACTATTCACGAGGGACGATGCTGATTATTGTGTCAGGTACAGCTTACTTCAAGCCATACATGAAGTTTCTCTTCTGGTTCCCCTAACAGTAAGCAGTTTCTCAGTTTCCCAACATGGCCATTTCTTGACAAATAATATTTTCCATTGACCATACTCTCAAATAACTAACTTGCTCGTTAGACATAGACATAAACTTATTCTAATGAACTTAACTTTTCTAAAACTAAAAAGATACTTGGAAGTCTCCATAGGCAGTGTTTTTATAACAGGTGATTTCGAGATATGCAGACGTTGGTCTCATGACAGCATGATTTCAAACTGCCCCCTTGTTGCAGTGAAATTCACTGATCTAAGTAAAGCAATTTCACTAAACATACTGACATTTGAGTTAGAAAACAAACAGGCTTTGGAGGAAAAATAAGGTAAGATAAGGCAAAAAACTAACACACTGGAATAAGACAAAACAGACAAGCAGGAGGAGAGGAAATTTAAAAAATATCTATATCAGTGAAAGAAATCAACGCTTCCCTCACCTTTCTATTAGCCAAAGCACAATCAAAACTCTAACAAAATTCTGCATAATTTCCCACTGTTCTGTTCTTCCACTAAGCCTTCCGATGCTTTTTCATTTTAATGAGCTTTTTAATTTCCCAACATACACCTTAAAATACATATTAGATATTTAATTTTGATCGCCCAGTAAACCCCAATGGCCATCAGTGCTGTCCTACTTTGGAATGTCGCATGACCATGACTGGAGGAGGTCAGGTGTTTCATCTCACCAACTCCTTATACAGACAGGGTCAGCCACCGAAGGTTTGAGTCTTCCTTCTCAGGAGTGTTTTCAAGACCATAATAGATTCTATTTCAGTGGGATCAACGTCAACTTTCCACCAGTTACAGGAAGAAAGAAAACCAAGCAAGCCCGAGCCATACCTCCAGGTCATTCTGTGGATGCTGAATGGAGAGTTCCTAGAAAAGTCCCTGTTGTGAACCTGCCCTAAGATGGGAAGTGAAAAACGCAGCATGGGCTGGAAGAGTCGAGGCTGTAATGTTCTTTTCTTTGTCTTTAAGATACAGCGATAATCATATGCTTTTTGCAGGTAAACTTGAGTTTCTCACCAGCGCAGAGCCTGCCAGCCTCTGATGCCCAGCTGAAGGTCACAGGCACGCCCCTGTCCCTCTGCGCCCTCCGTGCGGTAGACCAGAGCGTGCTGCTACTGAAGCCGGAAGCCGAGCTCTCCCCTCAGTCGGTGAGTCCCATTGCGGTCTTGGGAGAAGGATGACATAAGACCATTTCTGCAAACCATAACCACAAAGGATAAGATCCTCAGAGCGATAAGTGTGACGTAATTCCCTAACAGTCACTGAGCATTACAGAATCGTCTCGTTTTACTCGGGTATTTCTTAACAAGTGAATAATAATTTAGGATAGGTCTTATTACTTCATGGTATGAGTAACAAAACACAAATAGGATGTGTTAATTATAGAGATAGCATGCGACAATACGTTTTAGAGAATCTAGTTTCTTCTGGTCCACTTGCTAACCTGTCACAACTCAAGGACTATGTAAGATGCCAGGCTTCTCTGCTCTTCCTGGTATCAAGCACTTGCTGGTCTTAAGAGCAGACAAATACAGTTTCTTTTCACACATCTTTAAAAAGTCTTTGCATTTTCAAAGAAGCATCCCCGCCTACTGGCTTTGTGGTGTCTTTACCAGTTTTACAGGTACCCTCTGCTTCTTGCCTCCAGGTCCAGCACTACTGAGACCAGGTTCAGAAGTGATCCAATTGCCTACGGGTGTCCATTATCCATCCTCCCTCTACACCACTAACCTGAAAACTGCCAGCCTCTAGCTCTCATCTTCATAGTCTTCTACATTCAGATCAATTTTGGCAAATTTTCTTCATTTTTTTAAAGAGTCTGGTATAGCCCAGACTATCATTGAACTCATAAGACAACTAAGGATGACCTTGAGTTTTTTATCCTTAGGTCCCCATCTCCCAAGTGCTGGGATTACAGACCTGCACCAGCATGCCTAGTTTATGTAGTCCTGGCCTTGAAATCCAAGGCTTCATGCCTGTTAGTTAGACAAGCATTCTACCCACTGAGCTACATCTCCATCCTCTCAGCCCCTTAAATGCTGCATTTGTGCACAAGAAGATTAAAAACTTTGACATTCAGACTCTTTCTATGAGTCCCTGCCTCATCCCTTATGTCATACACATAGCAAGGGTGAATAAAACCGTGGTGGTTTGACTTCCATGTTGAGCACTGTTACATTTAAAATTCTTTAAACAAGAAACAGTTTCCCTTTGTTCTCTTCCAACATTCAGATCTATAAATTGCTGCCAGAAAAGTCTCCCCAGGGTGCTCATTATGGTGGCCCAATATATGAACATGATGAAAAGTGCATCAATGCAGACGAAATCACTCACAATGGGATTGTGTACACACCAAAGCAGGACCTGAGTGATGACGACGCCAACAGCGTTTTTAAGGTAACCCCCCGAAACTCACCAGAGCTGATTTATAAGTCTGTGTTAAGATGCAAAGTCCAGAAGCCTCTAAGCAGTACAATCTGATCCTTCCCTCTCCAACAGAAAAGAATCTCAGAGGTGTGGTTACTTTGTGCACATACATATCTACTGGGATTTCTCTGGCACCTTAAGTAATAAGTGGTTTCATTCTGTATCTAGATATGTAGATACATAGATACATACATAGAGATTAACATATGAGTTCCTTCTTGGCAGCTGTAATGTGTCATTTGCACAATAAATTCTTTGAAGTTTCTAAAGTATCTGTGTATACATTGTGTGTTGATCATAGCCCCCAGGTCTCACCCTCCCTTTCCCTGCCCCTCCCCACTTCCCATGAGTCTCCTTTGTCCCCCAGACCATTTTGTTCTACTTTCATTAATATATGCAGAGGGGACCTTATGTATCTTTATAAAGTCTAGGAACCACAAGTGAGAGAAAACATAGTCATTAAAAACACGTAATATTTTTCTTTCTGAGACTGGTGTAGCTCACTTAATATAATCAACTCCAGTTGCATATATTTTCCTGCAAATGACATGGCTTTGTATGTATGTATGCTTGTGTATAGATATGTATTTTCCTTACCCACACCTTTGTTTTGGGACACTCAAGTTGATTCCATAAGTTAGCTGTTGCAAACAATGATTGAATAAATGCTGAAATGCCAGAGTCTCTGTAATAGGCTAGTTTGCAGTGCTTTGGGTAAGGGGTAGTAGAGTCATATGGAGTATCTGTCTCCTTTTAGTTTTTTGAGAAACCTCCACACTTCTGTAGTGACTGGACTAGTTTTCACTGCCACCAGCAGCGTATAAAGGATTCCTTGTGACCATTTCCTTGTCAGTATTTGCTCTTGTTTTTTTTTTCTTAATGACTGCCCTTCTGACTGGACTAATATAGAATCTCAGTATGGTTTTGATTTACATTTCTCTAATGGCTAGGGAAGTTGAACATGTTTCATGTGTTTATTGATGGCTTACATTTCATCTTTTGAGAACTGTTAACTTTATTAGCCTGTTTCCTAATTGGTTTGATTTCTTGTTGTTTAGGGTTTTTTAGTTATTTGTACGATAGATTTTATTCCCATTATAGATATATTATACACATTAATAAGATGTACAGTTGGAAAAGATTTTTCTCCCCTTCTATAGACAGTGCCTTACTTTGTTTTGAAGAGCTTTTGAATTTCAAAAGGTCCCATTTGTCAGTGGTTGGTAATTGTTTCTCAAAAGGTCTGCGCTTAGCTGAGAACAAATTAAATCCCCTCTCTGGAATTTCCAATATGCTTTAACATGTAATATTTTTCCAGTCTATAGGATTAAATGTTTTTACCAACTCCAAAATCCACAAGCCACGTTTTTGCTACCTGCCTCAAGCCTATCCAGCAATACCTGCAGCCTATGGTAAATGTATGATTTCTTTGTCTGCTAGAAAAATGGGAGAAAAAAAAAAACGATGTTTCACTGGGGTAGGGTGGGAGCTCAAAGAACACATACATACATACATACATACATACATACATACATACATACATACATACACATCGTATACATCATCTTAGGCAATGTATACACAAGTCACATCTTCTGCCAAAAATAGAACTCAGATAAGATTACCGTTTCTCTCCCTCCCTCCCATGTCCTCTCCCCTACCCACTTCTCTCCCCTCTCTCCCTTCTCTTGTCAAAACTGCCTTTTTACCCTAGATGTCAGTCATCTCGATTCTTCACATGCCCTCTGTAGACACCACGTCTAAGTCAGTCATGACAGCATCTGAGGCTTCGGCCCACCGCCAACACTCCATCTCAGGGGCGGAGCTCCATATTGCTTATCTTCATGCTCACACAGAAGCTATTTATTTTGTCTCACTGAGTCTTGCCTTAAAAGATGCCTTTGCCCTAACCTCCATGGTGTTTTATTCTATAATTACACTAGTCTTTAATTGCTTGACTATGGTAAGCACACTCCTGAAACAGACATTCTACCCTAGAGGGACTTTTCATTAACCTCTGAAGGTGCCTTCCTACTTTTGTGGATACACTGGCACAGCTGTTTCTCTGGAGTTCCCTCCCCTCCTTGGCTTCCCATCAACCAATGACCACTTTAAATTCCCCATGGTGAAGTCACGAGGACCAGCTGTAGTGAAGATTATAGCTGATCCCCACGGTATATAATGGACTTGTTAAACTTTGTGCATTTGTAGTCTCTTTTCAAATGTAACCCTGGCATGTAGCTGTATCAAGTAGCTATGAATATAAATGTTTAATGACAGTGAATGATAAAGAAATACATTTTAAAATGATTCTTTGGTACACCTGTGCATTTGCCATTTACTAAAAAAGCAAATTTGCATGCTAATGAGATGAATATGCTTGTCTATCTCGCATAAAGAACTAAATTTTGGATGCATATTGAATACAATAGGATCTGAAGCATCTTCTGTTTTTTCAGCCTTGGTTGACGTGTTAGCTTTGTACTCAGCAGAGTGGCACTTCACATAAAAGCACAGTAAAAAAAAAAGTAGACACATATTTATGGCCATTTCAGACATTATTAACTCTTCTGTTTTAATTCCACACTAAAATTCATTGAACCATTTTTTTTATCAAACTCAAGTCAACAACTCAAATAAGAGCAGTTTTTAAAATTCAGACATTCTAATGATAAAATTCTAGCTCTGAATTTTATCATGTAGAGCTAGAAGGAAGACATTAGAACTATTTGTTTTTGTAATTGAACCATTATGCTTCTACGGAGAGCAGAAGCCTTCGTGTGGAGAACAGAACTACAGCAGTGCACAGCAGGCAACAGTCTGGAATGTGGGTCAAACAGTGACAGCAGTGCAAAGGGCACATGGTGTATGCTCAGACCCAAGGTTACAGCAAAATCGATGTTGCAAACTGGGAGAACACCTCAGACTCCTCGCACCTTTGATTGTGGGTTAGCTTTTGCTTGCGGCATGTCCAGAGCCCTTTTTACTGTTGCCAATGTTTTCCCAATCTCTGCTCTCGAAGGCACAGCCCCATATGGAGCGGCAATCCATTTCCAAGACTAGGGTGTGTAACACACACATTCCTACTGTTTACTGCTTGTGTCTCTGTCTCGTGCTCTGCTAAATGAGCCATATTTCTGAAATCTTGCTGCAGCTAATTTCCTTTCCTGTTCTTTGATGTTCACTGTCAATGCCAGTGGAAGACCTGACTCTCATTTCAGGAGAACAGCCATCTTAGAGAAAGCTATATTTGCTTTGTAAAGAAAAATATACTCACCTCTATTCCATGAAGCAAAAGAACAAATGTATAAAATATACAAAGTAATAAAAATATATAAAAATATAAAAAAGTGACTACTGGGTAGATGACCCTCTTCTACCTAACAACCATCCAAAATCCATTATGAGAATGAGTCTCACTGTGGGGCTCCTATGTTGTCTTCTCATAGCACCGCAAGCCTTACCTATGGTAGCAGGCTCAGGAGCGGGCTTCAGAGGAATGAGCTACACAATGGCCATGAGCGAAAGTGCCCCAGTGCTGGAAGTAAGGGAGACGGTGCGGAAGTACTTCCCAGAAACCTGGATCTGGGACTTGGTGCCACTGGAGTGAGTTGAGTGCCCCCTGGGACTTAGCGTAGGTGAGAGTGTGAACCTTGCTCTGGGACTTTGGTGTCATGCTTGGCACCTGATCCTTTCAGGAACCAAGTTCTACAGTTCACGTATCTCACAGTGAAACAATTCTTCTCCCCCTCATGTGGTTCCCAGTT